ATGTTATCGAAATGAAAACAATGTGAAAATATAAAATGGAACAGGCCCATCAATTCAGTATGTGCTATTGGTCGGGATATGTTATCACGTGGGGATATTTGATCACGTTATGATATTTGATCACGTCGGGGTCGCCAATTTAGGATTTGTCCCGGTGCGAACTTGGCAGACACACAGACCAACCACCAATTGTTCGGAATGGTTATATACCCTCGAGTACGAGGCCAAGAAAGAACACGATAGCGTAGTCAGATGGAATAGTATATTTGGATAGTTGTGCCAAGATACCGACGCGTTCCAACTAACCGGCTAGAGAGTCGGATGCGAGCAGTGCAACGTAACTCGACAGAGCGCCAAATGGCGAGGATGCTTGACCGGGTACCTTCAGCTTAACGAGTCCAGTTAAACTATCAAGGTCAGCATCAATGTCGAAAGTCGTCAAACCCTAGGCTATTGATTTTGGGGAGGCGTGACACTACAATGCTGACCTTGATAGTTTAACTGGACTCGTTAAGCTGAAGGTACCCGGTCAAGCATCCTCGCCATTTGGCGCTCTGTCGAGTAACGTTGCACTGCTCGTATCCGACTCTCTAGCCAGTTAGTTGGAACGCGTCGGTATCTTGGCACAACTATCCAAATATACTGTTCCATCTGACTACGCTATCGTGTTCTTTCTTGGTCTCGTATTCGTGGGCACATAACAATTTTGAATAATTGGCGATTGGCCTCTGCGTCTGTCAGGTTCTCACCAGGACACTTCTTAAAACGGGATGAGAAGATCGGTACTGAGAAGTAGGCAAACCGTATTCTGTTCCGCTTTCAGACTTAAATTGCGAACTGAATTCTGGTTACTGAAGATTGGTTAGAACTAGTATTTCGCTATGAGAGAGTAAGGAGAAGGATCAAGAAATACTACGTCTATTTGTTGTAGTTCAGCCACGCATTTCAAAGAAACCTAGGCACTCAGTATTTATTTTTTTATTATTAGTCCCTTGGGTTCCTAGTGGAACATAGGGCTTCAGTAGCACGCCTCCAGTGACCTCTGTTCTCCGAGATCTTTTGAACCTGGTTCCACGACAGCCCACAACCTCTCATTTCCTCCTCGCATGACCTCCTCCATGTCACCCTCGGACGTCCAACTCGTCGCTTCCCATGGGGATTCCATTCGAGGGCCTGACGCGTGATGTCCTCAGTCGGCCTTCTCAGTGCATGGCCAATCCATCTCCACTTCTTCCTGCATATTTGTTGCGTGATAGGTTCTTGGTTGGTTCGTTCCCAGAGTTCCTTGTTGCTTATTTTTTCTGGCCATCTGATCTTCAGCAGCGAGCGTAAGCAGTTGTTGATGAATGTCTGTAGTTTATTGGAAATGCCTTTCGTGACGCGCCAAGTCTCTGAGCCATACAAGAGCACTGACTTGACGTTGGTGTTGAAAATCCGTATCTTGTTCCACATGCTGAGTGCGGAAGATCTCCACACTGGTTTCAGGCTAATGAACGCCTGTCTTGCTTTTCCAATTCTGACTTTGACGTCCTCGTCCGTCCCGCCTGTAGTTGAAACAGTGCTTCCTAGATAAGTGAAGGAGGTTACTTCCTTCAAGTTTCTCCCGTTGACGGTGATTGGAGTTTGTTGTTGTTGTTGATGTTGGTGGTGCGGTATCTTCATCACTTCTGTCTTCTCTATATTCACCTGAAGTCCCGTCTTAGCTGCCTCTTCTGTCAACTTGTTAGTTTTTGCCTGCAGATCTTCAAGTTTATGTGACATTAGGCATAAGTCATCGGCGAAATCCAAGTCTTCTAGGTTCTTTTCCGTCGTCCAGTGTATCCCCCTCTTCTCGCTGCCTACTGTTTGCTGCATGATCCAGTCCACCACAATAAGGAATATCATGGGGGATAGTAGGCAACCTTGTTTCACTCCTGTCTTCACTTCAAAGGCATCACTGAGCTTCCCATTGTGGATTACTTGGCATGTGGCATCTTCATATAGTTGTTGAATGAGGCGGATAAAGGTTTGCGGTACTCCGTAGTATTGAAGCAGTTTCCAAATTACTTCTCGGTCGACGCTGTCAAAGGCCTTCTCAAAGTCGATGAAGTTGAGGTATAGAGCTGATTGCCATTCTACGCTCTGTTCTATGATGATACGAAGCGTTGCAATTTGGTCAGCACATGATTTGTACTTCCTGAAGCCTGCCTGTTCCGGTCGCAGTTTTGAATCCAGTGCGTCTTTAAGCCTCTCCAGGATGATGCGGCTTAATATTTTACTTGGGGTGGATAGGAGAGTGATTCCTCGCCAGTTCTTGCAAGCACTGAGGTCTCCCTTCTTCGGCAGTTTGACAAGGTAACCCTTCTTCCAATCGACAGGTACCTTCTCTTCCCTCCACACCTTCTGCAATAGTGGTGTGAGCATGTCCGCTGTTGTCTCTGCATCTGTTCTCAGTGCTTCTGGCGGTATTCCATCTGGTCCTGCTGCTTTCCCGCATTTCAGTAGCTTTATGGCGTTCAGGACTTCCATTTTCGTTGGGGGATTTATGTTCACTTGTAATTCAGCGGCTGCAGGTGGTATTTCTGGACGAAGTGCAGGTGGTGGTCGATTCAAGAGCTTCTTGAAGTGGTCGGCCCATCGTTTCCTCTGTTTCTCTTCTTTTGTAATTAAATTTCCTTCTTCATCTTTTATTGGTTTCATCTGTGTTGGTCTCTTCCCTGATAGCAACCTGGTTATTTGATACAATGTCGTCAGGTCTCTCTTACCTGCAGCCTGTTCTGCTTCACTTGCCAGTGTGTCGTAGAAGTGTCTTTTGTCTTTGCGTGCACTCTTCTTCACTTCTTTATCCAGTGTTTTATACATTGTGCTCAGTTCCTCTTGTCGTTGAGCATCCTTGCACTGGTTTATCTTCTGTTTCACCATCCTCCTCTCCTCTATCAGCTTCCAGGTATCCGTCGAGATCCATTCCTTGTCTTCCACCTTCTTCTTTCCTAATACTGTTGTGCAGGTTTCTTTCCACATAGCTTTCAAAGACTTCCAGTGTTCTTCTACACAGGTTTCTTCAGGGATGTCCCTCGACGTCTCCCATTTTGTCTTGATGGCTGCTTTGAAGGTCTCCTTTGTAGTTTCATCCTTCAGTTTCCGAGTGTTGTACTTGAATTGAGGTCTATCACCAGCTTCCTTGAAGGCTTTCAACTTGATTTGGAAGGTTCCTTGCACTAGATAGTGGTCTGAACCTACATCTGCTCCTCTTCTTGACCTTGTGTTAAGTAGACTGCGTCTCCATTTTCTTGAGATTGAGATAAAGTCGATTTGATTTTTAGTGTGTCCATCTGGTGAAGTCCATGTCGCTTTGTGAATATCCTTGTGCCTGAACACACTGCCTCCAATCACCAAATCGTTGAATGCGCAGAATTCTGCAAACAATTCTCCATTCTCATTCATTTCACCTAGCGCCTCTCGACCCATGGTTAGTTCTCTTCCCGTGTTGTCCCCTCCCAGTTTGGCATTCATGTCGCCCATTAGAATTTTGATATCGCCAACTGACGTCTTGTCCAGTGTTGACTGAAGTTGTCTGTAGAATTCCTCCTTTTTCTCTTGCTCTGCATTATTTGTAGGTGCATAACATTGTATGATTGTGACCTTTCTTCCTTTTGAGTTGAATCTTGCTGTCATGATCCTGGAGGAGATTGGTTCCCACTGCATGAGAGCCTTCGATGCTCTTGAGGACATCATGATAGCCACTCCCTCAGTGTGCTCGTGGTTGGCGTCTGGGTGACCAGAGTAGATTATTGATTCTCCAGTTGACAGTTTGGAGAGTCCACTCCCATTCCATCTGCTCTCGCAAATCCCAAGCACTTCGATGTTATACCTTCTCATCTCCTTTGCAATCTGGGCTGCCTTACTGGGTTCAAACATCGTGCGGACATTCCATGTCCCCACGTTTACTTTCGCTTTCATCGAGAGAAGACACATCGGCCAATTGGCTTCCCGAAGGCTTTCACCAACTGGCGTCATTTCGCCTCTCCGATTCCAGCGGGGAATAAGTTTGTTTTCATTTTTTATATTTTGTTTGTGCTTTGAAGTTTCTTTAGCGGTTAGATTTGTTTTACGGGGTAGGGTTGCTAGCCCTATGCCCAACCTTCCCTCTTTACCCGGGCTTAGGACCGGCTAGTAACTAGTAAACTAGTTAACCAGGCGAGGTTAGGCACTCAGTATTTACTACTTGTATTTAGGGTTACGTGGTCACAACAGTATAGTGCCAGCCGCATTTAGGGGATAACCTATGGGATTATGTCATTATTTATAGGAGTATAGTAATAGCCAGTAAGAATGTCGCCGCTCTTGTAAGCTCCACTTATGACTTGCTCAGACCTCACACACGTATGTCCCATGTCTGTCTGAGCAGTCAAAGGCCACCACAGGTTTCAGGTATGTTGTGCAGCCCCTTCTAATGAGGAATGGCCGCTTATAAATGCTTGGGTTAGTTAAAGGTTATCTATCATGCGTGAGGCCCGTAAACGGGTTATAACATAGAGGATGAGTGCCGTCTAGCACATATGGGCTTGACCATGTACGAAGTGGATTCCACCTCGCTAAAATTTTATGAATACCTGCCTTTCATCTTTTAAGTTGTTGTGAGTGTACATCTGATGCCGAAGTACAACTTTCGGTTAGCTCATAACCATGTGTTCAATAAGCTATGTCCGCTTTTGATAACGTGATGAAAAATACCATTACAAAGGTTAAAATGTTCATCACAATGAGCTATGAATCGTTGTGTGAATCGTTCAGGGAAGCTCAGGTGTTTTGAAGAATAAGATCTTTGGGAAATCAAACTTTGGTCATCATCTGCATAAATATGGTCAATTGGAATTACTGCCAAATTTGCAAAATATGAACCACACCAGCACAAAATTATGAAATTATTCATAAATGGAATCCTAACCACTTGTGGTTGGGAAGGAAACTGAAGTATTTTCCAGACACTATAATTCCCTTCAGTTCTAGCATTGACCATTGTTCATCCTTCTGGAACCTTCGCTCAAGGTAACAAGTGCTTCCGTGGCGGGCTAGTTTGCACTATTATCTCGTGAGGTTAGTGACAAGCTCTTCGAGTGGTAAGCATATTAGTTGTTGTTCGTTTGTAAGTGTTCCAGAGAGTGAGTACGAAGCACAACATAAACTTGCCCCTCAGTGGTACAAACAATAGTAGAGAGGAACCAGTCTCATAAGGCTACAAGCTTCAGTAATTAGAATAGCCCAATTTGGCTTTCAATAATCCCAATACGCAAACCTCCTTTAGGCTCATCAGAGCTGCTGCAGGAGAGTAGATCGGTCTGCTTCGGGATCCACCAAGATCTGAATCTGAAAAGATTTAAAAGCTCCTCCAGCTGGATTTACGCAGCCAGCAATTACTTCGAGGAAACACTGAGACTTATAGGTTTTAGCCCAGTGCAACTTCAAACGCACTTACTAAATTTCAGGTGTCCCCTAAAGTTTCCAACTATTTCCATTGACCATTTCTACCTCATTAACTTGTTACACACAAACATGCAGCAATGAAGCGTTAACGATATATATAATATTACCAAATATGGCTTCATAGAACTGTGGATGTAGGCTATTCCAAAATTTGGGGTGCACTGCCTATACTTTGTGAACTTCGGGTACATTGCATAGAATTTGGGCGCACTTCGGAACTTTTTACAGTTTCGGAGGGGGGGGGATGTTTGAAACTTTCGGGGAGTATCGTGCGTCTCCCCATCTGCGCCTGTAGTAAATATCTCGGGTTTCGCCCATAACTTACAGTGTGCGCTCGATGCAAATGCTGGCTGGGTAGTGCTCGGGCAAGCGCTACGAAATCACTTGGTTGATACAAGTTTAGTTATTTCCAAAGCCACCACAAGAAATTTAAAGAAGACTACGGTCTAATTATTTTAACTGACTGACTGGGAAAATCAACGTAGGACCGCGCACACAAGCATCAGCTCGCGCCGCACTTCACAGTAGTACACAAAGAAAGGGTGATAGAAAAAGTGATGTCATAGAAGAAAAAGTAGTGTGAGAGAGTCAGCAATTTAAAGATGATGGTCAGTGCAAATATTCAAGCTTTAGTAAATTTCAAGTAAATACATCTGCGCCACTGCAACCGATTTCCAGTCATGTCGCCAAGAGTACTTAACTGCTGGTTCCTCTCGTCTCGGGGACTCCAACCAGGCAGTCTACATCTTCCCAGACAGTTCAGACCAACAGTCAGAGCCTTCATCGATTGGTGTCGTGTCTTGGTCTTGCTGTCTTGAACCCCCTTCCTACCTAATCCAAGTTCCTCTAGTATTGCACTCCGAGATAGGTGGTGGCTCAGCATGTGCAGTACATGTTCAAGCCAACTCAGTCGACGAAGGTCCACAACCTCATCGATCGACTTCTATGTCTTGTCTATTACCATTTGCCTCACCTCAACATTGCTCACACAAAGATCCCACGAAACGTGAGCAGCGCTACGAAGACATAATAATAATAATAATATATAGTGTCTGTGATGGAAAACCTGTGACTCGTATCTTCTACTTTTAACGGTTGTCACCCGTTCAACGGGACGAAGTGGACTACAGCGCAGTATACTTAATAGGTATACCTAGTTGATAGTCGGGTATCTTACAGGCCCCGTAGATGACGCAAGTTGGCGAAGCCAAACCTGGCCTTTTGTATCCGGATTGGGAATACGTCAGCAATCAGCCCGCTCGGGTTGATGCAACTGGCAAAGTAAGTGAATCAGTCGACACATTCCACCACTTCACTCCTCACCACTTAACTAGGAGTTTTTGCAGCAGACCAGTTTTTAAGCATCACCCTATATTGGACAAGTGCTAGCAAAACGCGTGCAAAACAAACTCAGATTCCTGCCCAGAAGACTGCTTTTTGTCAGCGTCTTGACATAGCAGGACGGTATTGTCCGTATGCCCCAAGTCAACTAAATGACCTTCAAGGATTAGGTCAAACCTTGTTAAGTCGAAACTACTTGAGGTTAGGCCCAGTTGTATATGTATAACGAAGTGGTAGCTTTGGCTGTAGGCACCTCTGGTGGACACCACTGTTTGTCACTTCTGTTGACTCTCTATAAACCCTTACACGGCTGTATGAGCTCGAGTAGGGAGCTTTGCTAAGGGTTAGATACTGGCTTGTCACTCCGTTCAGTCAGACTGCCGCAACACCTCATAGTCGACAAAGTCAAATGACGCCATCAGGTCAAGAAATATGGCAATTGTCGGCCGCCGGTAGGTATGCATGTGTTCCACAGCCTGTTGGAGGGTAGAAGTAAGACCGATGCACTCTGAACTAGGTTTAAAACCCGGCTGGTTTTTTCGAGTTAGCTATTGTCAAGCTCCAGTTAGGCGCCGGATAGCTACAAAGCCTACTATCTTGGGAACAATATCAGTTAAACTAGTTCCCCTATGGTTATCACAAAACTTCTCTCTCCTGTAGATCATTTGGATGGGACTACTGATTTTCATACACTGTCTAGTATCTGTGTCTCTTTAAGCAGCAATTTCCTACATCCGTTCTTGAAAACTTCAGGTGACAGGCTGTCAGCTCCTAGTGCTTCGCATCGTTTCATGTTCGATGAAGCCTCCTTGACTTCAAGGAGAATTGAAGGACCGGCATCTGCGTCCCATTCAGGTTCAGGCCGCATATTGGACAACTGAAACGTTGCTGAGTACCATTTGAATTGTGCCTCAGAGTGTCCTGCCTAGCGTTTTAGGCTCCTATCCTGAGAGGTTATCAGCATCCCATCCTTTATGGCGATAATTCTAGTCACCGTCATTTTTTTCTTGCCGGTATCCTTAATACACCTAAATAGTTACTGACTGTTGCCCAACGCTGACGCCTCCATCTCTCTCACTGTCGCCGCCCACCACCTCTCTCAATCACTGCGAAGACTTGTGGTCAACTTACGTTTAGGTTGCTTCCGCTGTTGATCGTGGTCAGAGCCAACTCGAGTCAGTCTTCTCGCATCGATCAGCTCAGATGACGTCGCGGAAATCCGATGAGGTTTACTAACTTTCGAGTGTAGATTGCCAATGGTCTTTTCCTCTGTTTCTACAACAGACGTAATATCACACTAGGTTTCCTGAGGATGGGCACTGTTGTCATGTTCAGATAGATGCTTAGCTATCTCTTCCCTAAATTTGGACCTGACGTTCTCATCTTCCAATCAACCACTAACAAGCTTCACTACCGCCTGTTTCCTGCCACCAATAAGGCGCAGACAAACACGGGCCCGTACTGGCGCGTGATCGGAGTCCAGACGGGTAATCCAGAAAAAGCCCCAATCCTCTAACGATGGCTTATCGCAATGTATCCATCGTTGGTTCGGAGTCGGCGAACGCCATGTTAGACAGTGCCTTTTCTTATGCATACAGTTATTGCAGGTCAGTAACAAGTTGTTGGAGAGAAATTGCAAGAGGCAATTACTGTTGTCGGTTTGTTGGGATGGTATTCCGTAGAAACCTCCTAGATGCCTTTCCCATTGGCTCAGATTCGCCGTTTGGGAGTGTAAGTCACCCACCATTTTGATCACATCTCAACGTTCTGCTTTCTGTAGCAAGATTGACAACTCAGGATTCATCCTCTGCGTCATCCGAACTGCAGTCGTCGGGTGCGTAGGTGGTGAGAACGAGAAGGCATGGTTTCACGGTCCTTCCTAGTTCTTACAGATCCATTAAATGAAACACTACATAGACGGTTGTTTACTGGTATTCATTCGAGAAGCACACCCTATGCCGTACAATTCAATGCTATATCTACACCAGTGAGTCTACGAGAACTAGCCATTGGGTCTCTGGATATACGTAAGGTAAATTTGGAAGATTCGCTACTACGACCAGGTGAGGTCAATTTCATATTAACATTCGGATCCTGTATACGTGTCTCAAAAACAGCATACACCCATGTCTAGAGATTCCGGAGTTTTGGTGAACGATACTTGTTGTCCGATTTGGAATAGAGTTTGGACGTTGAAAGCTGCCACATTGAATCGATGGTGGGGTTTTAGGAGACTAGTAATAAGGTGTCGATGTCTTCGGTTGTTTACAATGGTTGCAGAGTGAGAGATTGGGTGAAGCGAAAGAGTCCTGATATTAGTATCAGAAGGTGAAGGCAAAGAAAGAAATAGAGGTGGGGAGGATAGGTTATATGTAACTGGGTCTTGTGTTCTGCTGATAGCGTGCGGGTGGTTGACACTTTTGGGCTACTCACACCGTGGAAGGCTATTTCTTCTTAAGGTACCTGGAAGATAAAGATTTGTGTGACCGCAGAGCGCGTGGGACATCTACTTGAGACCTGTCTTACAGCCTTTTGTGGGTTGTTGTTTCGAGGTTAAGTTGTTCTGACGCCAGATAGACAAAAAGGCCCATAACATGTGGCGCGGTGGTGTGTTATTTTGGAGCCAACCTTTTCTAATCCTCCTTTCCGTTGAGTAGGCACCATCAGCGCGGTACTGCTGGTATCAGAGAAACACTGTACTACTGTCACATCACTCAACTGGCAGCGAGACTACTTCACTTCCAGATCCCCTATCAGTGTAATCAATTACACTACAACGGTAACTGCTTTTCATCTAACCACTATCTAAAAGACCTATCTGGGATAGTAGGACCTCGAAGGAACAAGTGTTCCACCAGCATAGCTCGTTGGATCATAGTGATATGCATGCCCGACTACCACGTCAAGGTAGCAGCTATCAGTCGGGACAGCTCGAACATTTCACTTGATATCGCCGGTAGTATCAACTCCTTCAGTAAACGCATTTAAAATAATCCTTGCTGAGAAAGTCTCAGCTAGAATAATAGGGGTCGGAGTGGTCTACTGTCTTTACTTTTAAAGACTATCTTTGGATGGTCGAATTCACATAATTCGACAACTAGGTCAGCTTCATGATAAGCTTTTATATTTTTTTTTTCGGCGTTTGATATTTTTTCAAATCAGACCCTTTGTGTGGCAAATTATTTGAAAATAAGGGAAGTATTAGACATTGCATTAAGAGTTGGGTGGTGAGACTACAGGATTTTTCCTGCTTTGGGTGTCTACTGAATGTATTTGAACACGTTAATGAGCAAAAGGTTGTTGCTTTCCAGCTTCACTACCGAAATGAAATGAAGTTACAGTGTGTGTGGACTTAGAACAATGTGAGAACGTGACTGCTTAAAGTAAAAGTGTGTATGATTAAGATATTCATATCATTTTAAAACAGACCACCTGAACTATGATATGGATGTAAATAAGCACTCTAGTGGCTTATCAACTCTAAATTATTTGCCGCTTTAGAAGGACTTAAGAATTTAAAAAAGTCATTAGGTTTAAAACAAAATACTAAGTGAATATTTGTTGACTTCAGAGTGCAGAACTTTGAAACAGCAACGAATCCTTAAGCAGACTGCCGGTATGATCCATCTTCAGCACCAGTGCCGCAGTGGATACAGACCAGTCATGAGGCATCTTACATTTGACAGGTATGAATCGTATACCAAATATACTCAGAGTTCTGCTCAAGACGGTCACAAAACTGCATTTCAGCAGCATTTCCACTAGACAAGATAATGTCTGCGTTATCTTCTACCGAGTAAGTCGAAGGTACCTGAGGTTATATACATCAGTATATTTAAACTAAACCTGAACCAAAATCGGTTACAAGGGTATCCCTGGCGGACACCACTGATTGCTGTCAATTTAGATGACAATTCCCTATGATCCCTCACGACGATTCTTCTCTGGAACGCATTTTACCCGTTATATGGCTATTTCGCCGTTGAAAGTAGAAGATATGAGTCACAGGTTTTCCATCACAGACACTATATATTATTATTATTATTATGTCTTCGTAGCGCTGCTCACGTTTCGTGGGATCTTTGTGTGAGCAATGTTGAGGTGAGGCAAATGGTAATAGACAAGACATAGAAGTCGATCGATGAGGTTGTGGACCTTCGTCGACTGAGTTGGCTTGAACATGTACTGCACATGCTGAGCCACCACCTATCTCGGAGTGCAATACTAGAGGAACTTGGATTAGGTAGGAAGGGGGTTCAAGACAGCAAGACCAAGACACGACACCAATCGATGAAGGCTCTGACTGTTGGTCTGAACTGTCTGGGAAGATGTAGACTGCCTGGTTGGAGTCCCCGAGACGAGAGGAACCAGCAGTTAAGTACTCTTGGCGACATGACTGGAAATCGGTTGCAGTGGCGCAGATGTATTTACTTGAAATTTACTAAAGCTTGAATATTTGCACTGACCATCATCTTTAAATTGCTGACTCTCTCACACTACTTTTTCTTCTATGACATCACTTTTTCTATCACCCTTTCTTTGTGTACTACTGTGAAGTGCGGCGCGAGCTGATGCTTGTGTGCGCGGTTCTACGTTGATTTTGTCTCTCTCTCTCTCTCTCTCTCTATGTTTGTGTCCTGCAAGGTTTTACACTTGTCCGACACTGAGAAGGTCTGTGGACTATGAGCAATAAATGGTTTCGTCGTCGACTGTTTGGGTATGTTAAGGAGGAGAAAAGTATATATATGTTAACTGTGAAGTTAACTCAAGTATGTTTTTACTGTAGTGATTTTAAGCAGACACTGTTCCAACCAAACCCACCAACTACTGAACATCTGACTTATCTATTTTTAGTATTATTGTGGCCTATAATTTTGAAATGTGTAGTTTATCCCTGCGGTCACTACTTGTAGTGGTTACGTCACTGTATACTCAAGACTTCTAGATTACTACTTGAACACAGTTTATAGGATATTTTGTCTCTGTACTTGTTTTGATTTTGTGTTGGTGGTAAGTTTTAATTGAGTTCAACGACATATCCTCTTGATTCCTTATCAAAATAGCAGCGCTCAATCAATCAGTTGTGCGGCATCATTCCCATCTGTTGGTGGGTAAAACTGGTTGTGGTTTATTTCGAAATTCTAATGCGACTGTACATTAGCAGTGTTCTTGCTTTGTGTAGTGCATTTCGTGGTGCTCTTGCTGTACCATGTTTGCACTTTGTATGGATGTCAGTTCTAAAAACTGCATTCCCAACAAAGGTAATATGGAATGGAACCTCACTCAGCAACTTCACACTTCCGTGCAGTAGGCAGTGAGCCACACCTGTGTGAGCTACTGATACTGCCTGGCTGCCGAAGCCTCCTTAGGTAAAGCGGCGTTCGAACCCGCGACTCATTGGTTGAAACTCAACTACCAAAACCAGTGAGCCACAACTCCACTGGTGATATTTAGTGTGTTTTGCGTGGGAAATTATTTAGTAATATGCAGCGATAGAGGTCTTATGATTTCGTCTAAGTACACGTTTGCAACTTCAAGCTCTAGGATTTCGGTAATATTGGGCTAATCATGTCTTTTGTGTTGAGAAGATGCAGTCTGATTCTGCGTCACATACTGGTTTCACACTGAAAAGAAGTTTGTAGTTTGAGACTTTCATCTATGATGTTTTAATCACTTATATTGTAGCACCCGGTTCATTGGATAGTGTGGTCACTGTACCTTTGTTTGAAAATTCCTCTTCCGAGTTTGTTACTTATTTTATTTTTAGCATAATGTTGGTCACTGTAACTTGTTTACGTCGTACTCATCATGTCTTGAAGTTGGCTAACCAAATACACAATTCAGCACCTTTGGTTAAGCCATCTATATCGAAGCAGCTTGTCCGGTCGTTTCGGATATTTCCGGCGGTCAATAGTTCTGTGCGCCGACGTGTTGGACGTATTAATTTAAAATCCCAGGCTCCAGAATCTGAGGATTTAATCGGTAAGCCTATTTTCCTAAGTTTTACTGTTATCAACGTATCACTCTACCTCAGCCCGGTATTCGCGGTTCTACATTGATTTTGCTTGTCTGCCTGTCTCTTGGCACATTGAGAACATAACTTTCCGAGACACTAATGTTAGTCACTATAAGTGCTTGCATATAGTGTTATGTTTATTAATCTGCAATGTTGAACGGTGGCAGTACAGTAGAGCATTCTTCTTACTGCTGGACTTTATGTGACTTCACTTTTTATTCTTTCGATAATTTCGGAGCTATTTACTCATTTTACACGCAGTAATTTTAGTTACATGTGTTGTCATTCTTTTTGATCTAGATTAATCTATACTTTGCTAGTTACTTTAATTGTAACTGAAGTATTAAGTTTGATTTTGTTTACTTCTCACTATCTCGACAACTGAATAGTGGCAATAAAAACATTTACCTCTTAGTGAGACTTGTTCTCTTCAAACTCCTCTGTACACAATTTTGTTGTATTGGCATTTGTGTTTGTAATCCACGGTTTCGCTTATAACTACCCCACTAATTGGCATGATGTTATCTTCCTGTCTTTATGTTAGTGATTTCTATTCTTTTCAGCTATCGACAAAACGCGAGCTTTGGTGGGTGCAGCTGCTGCAGTCGGCATTGGTGGTCTTTGTATTTATGGTTTGACCGCGAAAGATGGTTCGCTTTCAGCTTTCGATCAATCAGTTGTATGGCCTGATTATGTAAGACAACGTATTCGAGCAACATATAGTTACTTACTGAGTGGTGCCGCCATAGCAGCCGGTTCAGCGGTTGCTTTCTTCCGGTCTCCAGCTATGTGTCGTTTAATGCTTAGTGGTGGATGGCTTGCTCCTATTGGGATGGCAGTATTAAGCATGGCTACAGGAATTATTTGTCAGGTAAGTGTTGTACCATAGTTTGCCGCTCACTTGCTTGATAACTGTACTCGATGTTTTTGTGATCAGAAAATTTTGTCATGGGTTATTTACGAAATCAGCGTCCCTTTTCAAATGTGTAATCTGTTGACGTTTTCTTGGTTATTTGGGCGTAAAAGACTCCAGTAGTGTTTAGGTTAAGGTAATGGTATGGCTTATTCTCATAGACACTTGAATTCCAACCATTAAGTCACGGATTTGAGCCCCACCTCCACCAAACTGAGAGCATCTGGGTAGGTCTTACATTTTGAGATTGCACACTTCTAAACTCTCGGGGTGCGGCCATATTCTATTGATTAAGAACGAAATAGGCTGTTTTTGTAGTATTATATGGTACAGGACAAGACAGAATCAATCAAGTGATTATTATTATTATTAATATAGAGCCTCACACACAAGTGCATCCGTTCGGCGTGCCGCACTTCACAGTAATATACAATGAAACAGGTGGGTCGAAAATGAGTGATTTCAAACTAGACAAAGTTGTGCGGAGGAATAAACTATTTGAAGATAAAGGTTAGCACAAATACTCAGGCTTTAGAAAAGGTCGTAGGGTGAATACATCTGCGGTATTGTGACCGATTTTCAGCCATGTCACCAAAAATCCTCAACCACTGTTTCGTATCGTCTTGGTGACCCCAAGTATGTAATCTGAGTCTCTCCACACGGGTCATAGTAACAGTTAGAGACTCCATCGAATAGTGCAACGTCTTGGTCCCCTAGCATTGCACGTCGAGGTAAGTGGCTACTCGGTATGCTAAGTTCATATCCAAGCCAACTTAGTCGGCGAAGGTTCACAACCTCATCGATCGACTTGCCTGTCCCGCTTAGTACCCTTCGCCTCACCTCAACATTGTTCACACGGGGATCCCACCGCACACGAGCAACGCTACGAAGACACCTATGGTCGAAAACATGTAACTGCTTCATATATTCTACAATATAGTGGGACAGGACTGACCGCAGCGCAGTATACCTGTCCTCCGATAAATAGTCGGATATATCTCTCCAGTCGACGCTACACGTGACACAATTTGGCGAATGCCTTTTGTATCCAAGCTGAGACTTCGTCAGTAACCATCCCGTTCGAGCTTATGCAACTCCCTAAGGGAGTGGAACAGCCTACGAGGTTAGGTAGGAACCGTGTCAGTAGGCATCCCTGGGAGGGACACCATTAGTTACCATCGATTCAGATGACAACTCTTCACAAACCCTCACTCGGTAGCGTCATTTTGAGTAAAGAACTTCGACTAGCGCTACATACTTGCTCAGAACTCTGTTCACAGTCACACTGTCGTAATACCTCTCAGTTGACGAAGACGAATGCCACCTTCAGGTCAACAAATATGGCAAGTGTCGGCTGCCGGTAGGTATGCCTGTATCCCAGAACCTGTCGGATGGGGAAAATCTGATCGATACATCCTCGTCCAGGTGTGAAGCTTCCCTGGTTTTCTCAAACCTGCAGTTGTCGAGCTCCACTTGGGCGTCGGATAACTACAGACCCAAGGATCTTGGATACTATATTAGTCAAACTGAATCCCCTATGGATGTCACAAAAAGACTTCTCTCCCTCCTTATACTATGGGATGGTCAGTGACGTGGAACTTTCTCTGATTCCCATACTCGAACTAGTACCTCCCTTACTCTAATCAGCGAATTCCTACCTCCGTCCTTAAAAAACTTCGGGTGGCAGACGGTCAATTCCAGCTACTTTGGATCGTTTCAGGTTGGAAACAGCTTTCTTAACTCCGACGAGATTTGGAAAAGTGACGTTTACGTCCCATTCAGCTTTAGGATGGATGTTGGGCAACTGAGGCTTTGCTCTGGGCCATTTGAACTAGGCTTTGAAGTGTTCGAAAGCGAAAGGCAGTCAGCCACTTTGTGCACATCCATGCAGTAAGCAATGAGCCACATGTATCGTGGGAAAGCTAGTAATATTACCTAGTTGCTCAAACATCGGTAGGCGGAGTGAGGCTCGAACTCGTGACTCAGTGGTTGGTAGTCATCTCCCTAAACCTCTGAGCCTCAGCTCCACTTTCTAAGTGTTCCGTTCAACGTACTGGCATAGCCGCCTGTCTTGAGACGTTATCAGCGTCTCACTTTTTTAAGTGATGGTTTCATTAACCATCTCTTGCTGGTGCCTAAATAGTTACCAGGTGTTACCCAACGCTGACGCCTCCATCTCTCTCACTGTCGCCGCCCACCACCTCTCTCAATCACTGCGAAGACTTGTGGTCAACTTACGTTTAGGTTGCTTCCGCTGTTGATCGTGGTCAGAGCCAACTCGAGTCAGTCTTCTCGCATCGATCAGCTCAGATGACGTCGCGGAAATCCGATGAGGTTTACTAACTTTCGAGTGTAGATTGCCAATGGTCTTTTCCTCTGTTTCTACAACAGACGTAATATCACACTAGGTTTCCTGAGGATGGGCACTGTTGTCATGTTCAGATAGATGCTTAGCTATCTCTTCCCTAAATTTGGACTTGACGTTCTCATTTTCAAATCGAGGACAGATAGGCGTGATCGGTCTTCAAACAGGTACTTCAGAAAGCAGCAGTCCTCCACCGATCGTCTTCAACGATGGCTTAAAGCAGTATGATCCATCTGTATCCATCGTTGGTTTGATGTCGGCGGACGCGATGTAAGACACTGTCTCTCCTTATGCTTATATTTGGCATTAGTCAGAAACATGTGATTGTCATAACAAAGTTGATAGAGATGATCACCGTTGTCAGTTCATATCCATGGGATTCCGTAGATACTTCCAGTATGCCTTTCTAATTGGCTCAGCTTCCCGACTTAAACGTTGAAGTCGCCTGGTATTGTGACCTTGTCTGAACGTTTTGCTTTCCATATCAAAATTGATAGCCAATGGTAGGACTCATCCTTTGTGTAATCCCAACTAAAGTTAGTGGGCACATAAGCGGAGATTACGAATAGACATCGGGAATTCTCAGTACCTTCCATAGTCTTTACAGGTTCATTGAGTTGGATGACTCAGATGGTTGTTGACTTGTATCCAGTCGAGAGTTACGGTTAAGTATAGTACACTGCTACCTCGTTAAATTTCTGGATTTTTGATGAATTACTGCTAGTCAGTGTCAATTAAAATTTTTATTAGCCAGCTTTTGGAGTTGTGCTTGTTTGATTAGTGGCATGCAGTATAGTAAAGAACATGCGTTTTTGCAAAATGCGATGCATTTATTGTATTTCATCGATTTTTCTTGAGCTAAAGATTGGCTAAAACGTTCGTAGAAACTTGCGTCATAACTGTTTTCAACACCTCATATACGACTATGTAGATTTCACTATTCTTCTAGATAGTTAACTCCATCAGGTATCTAGTCTCTAAATGTGTCTAGTAATTTATGCCAACTCTAGATCGGTGATTGAGGCAGTTAGCTCCATTAGTGAGTTCAAGGTCTTAAATTCCATCCCACTCAAGTCACTGTTTGTGGCGGGGAAGATATTGATAGCTTTAGCACAACAAGTGTGAACCACTTCAGTCCTGAATAAAACGGTCTTGATTACTTTTTCTAGTAAGTGTTTGACTATCATTATCTGCAGTTACGGAAGTAGGAGATAATAATACCTCTCACTATTCAAATACATCATCATTATCAACATTAACATAGGGCCAGACATTACTGCGTAACGGTCCGAGTTGCTGATCCTACTTCCCACGTAAGTAAAGTGGTCGACACACTCAATCACTACACTCTTTATTGTTAGCCAAGGCACCGTTGAAGACCAATCCTGGAGCAACAATTTGCATTTGGGTAGTGAGAAACGCATCTCAAACATTCTCATATTGCCATTCAAAGTGTTCAGAAGACTCTGCATCTTGTCAGCGTCTCCACGTAACAGGACTATGTCATCTGCATATTCTAGGTCTAACGAAAATTCTCCTATGATTAGGTCATTGTCTGTGTAATTAGGTGATGAGAGGGAGACCTCCATAAGAATATCTATGATGAAATTGAATAAGTAAGGAGAGAGTGGGCATCCTTGTCGGACACCACTCGATGGGCATAGCTCCCTGGACAACTCGCCATAGGCTCTAACATGCCCACAAGTGTTCAAGTAGAGAGCTTTCAATAAGGTGATGTGCTTACTCGGCGCGCCTTTCAGTGACAGACATTGCCATAAGACTTCTCGATCAATGGAGTCAAATGCCGCCTTCAGACCGAGAAATACAGCTATTTTCGGGCGTCTGTAAGCATGCCTATGTTCCAGGACCTGGCGCAGTGTGAATATTTGGTCAGTACACTCGGGCTTGCTGTCTCCGAGCTCCACTCAGGCGCCGGAGAATTATAGAACCTAGGATCTTGGACACTATAGTTAATGTAGTGCCTAGTCTGCCATACAGATAAACGGTTCAGACAACGCACCGATTCATTTTGGTATCAAATTTTCTGCATTGTACTCATGTTTATATCTCGGTTTGTTGCATATACATATATCTTTTGATCTTTATATTTTTGCAGTCAATTCCATATCCACAGTCTGGTTTGAGTGCTAAGCACTTGGTATGGATCGCATATTCTGTTAGTTTGGGTGGGATGCTGATGCCACTCTGTTTGGTTGGTGGACCGATTCTTACACAGGCTGCTCTGTACACTGGAGGCATAGTCGGTGGTCTTTCTTTAGTTGCAGCGACGGCCCCATCAGATCGTTTTCTCAAGTGGGGAGGTCCTTTGGCGATTGGTTTGGGAGTTGTTGTTGTATCATCTCTTGGTATGTTTGATTAAAATACCTTGGTTTATAGTTGTTGTCCGCCTGGAGATGTGTGAATTGTTCATTAACCTAAAGCAATCATTATTCTGTAGTGGTTTTTTTTCGAAATACTTTGTTAACTGCCAAAAAGTTTCACGGCACAGCGTCCTGTCCGTCTATTTTAATTTATCTGAATTTTAGGTTTGATAAGCACTGTTTAGTCTATAGTATGCAAACGACTGAAAAGTGCAAAAAGTAGCCCAGCCTGTAAACCTTTATGAGTGGTTGATGATGAAACGGTATTCGTTAAATGACAGTGATACAGGTTAATCGACATCTCAAACTCATTGAGTCACGCATAAACTGACTATGCAGTTCTAGTCGATTATCGGATTGGCATTGCAATCGGTTACGCTTCCTTATATTATGTGACTGATTTACGTTTCGTGCAATTCACTTTTAATCTAATACTTTTTCCATAGTTGATTTAGATATTGTAACTATCTAAAAGCCCAAATCAAAGTAGTCCATAGTATGGGATGACAGGGGGACATTTCATAGAAGCTTTGTGTTGACCTACCTAGCCTACAAGATCTATCTTACCGTTATGTCTAGTTATTAGTACAGGTTCCTGTCCTGTTCTTTGTGGCGTAACTTGTAAACCGGTTCCCTTTATTTGCTTCAGAGTAAGAGTTTTTTAGTTTCAGCTGGTGAGCTCGTTGGCATACATTTAGTATGACATACTTTAACTAATTTATCAATGACGACCTGTAAAATAAGAGTGGGAATCGATGACACTGTTTACTCATAAGTGAATAGGAGTAGTGTTGAGAACTCCCGGAGTGCTACAAAATACTCTACTGCTTTTGATCAGAAGTTAAATTTAGGGAGCTAAATTATATTCTGTTGACTCGTAAGATCATGAGTATGATTGGTGTCCCCAGTTCAGTGGATTCGCTATGGGAGTCATCTGCTTCAAAAATATTCAGGTTTACTACTTATTCAAGATCCACCAACGCTAATCTGAGCGTTAATGTGCAGTGGGGAATGATTCACAATTTATTGGGGTTTAATAAACTATCAAACTGTTGTGCTCATTTGTCCATATCATTACTGGTTACAACACAGCGTTCATTTTGAATGTATTTTCATGAACATTCACATTGAGATTTTAGTGTAATTATATTTGTCGTTTAATTGCTGATTCCTTTTAGGTTCGATGTTTTTATCACCTGTCAGTCGTTTGGGATCTGGTCTTGCGTCTATAAGTCTGTATGGTGGTCTTCTTTTGTTTTCTGGATTTTTACTGTACGACACACAACATGTGATAAAGCGAGCAGAGTCACATCCACCTCCGAACTTCTACCCACCTGCTTTGTCTAATCAGAAGGGTTTTCAGCATCCAGATGCTTTGAGGCCATTTGATCCAATTAACAGGTTAGCGTTTACTTTTGGTTTTTAGATCGAAAGCAGTTCTATCTTTCATAATTCATCATTGTTTTTAAAAGCTAACTCAGTGCTAATTTCAGTCTGTAAAATAAGGAATGTAACGTGATACAATGCCACAGTGCTTTGTATTTTTTATTTTAGAGGTTTTCGGTAGGAGAGCACTTTACTATTCGGTATTGGCCGATAAATTTCATCAGTATTGATGAGACACCCAAATTTACTGAGCACTACGTCCAAAGTCTTTACAAATCAAGCTTTCGGGTCTTTATAGAATAAAACATTTTTTTAACCAATAATAGTCAAGTATCTTACAAGCTCAGCTTATTTTCTAACTGTCGCTGAGGGATTATATTATGTTATGCCAACTATATACAAAATACTGGGCTATTGATGTGCTCTACAAGAAGTTTCGGTGTTACTAGAGGATTTTAGTTTTTAATTAGTGTGAATATATCGAATCAGATAGTTACATGCGCAGTATAGTCATGCGACTCTTTGAATAGTCTGATTGGTTTTCAGTAGTTTTTAGCTTCTTAAGGGATCCAGGGATGTTTTGCATCCTAACAGTTTCGGTGTAGAAAAGTGGAAGTTAACAGTGGGAAATTTGCGACATTTTTTTATCTTCTGGGAAGGCATGTAAGCTTACACTTTCTCCGTTTACTTAATCACTTCTTTGATACGGTACTACAACATTGTTCAGATTCCGTTTTTTCTGGCAAACATTCCAGGGTGAAGTTGGATGTCACTCCAAAACAGAATGTGTTGCTTAATTTGTTGGTTGGTAGCTGTTGATCAGTTTACTGATGAAAAAGGTTTAAAAAAAGGAATTAAAAGTAAACATTTACACTTTATTGTTTGTGTATGTAACAAACGAGCTTCTGGTTTGAATATCAGTGTTTTTCATAAATTCCATTCGCTTCCTCTCGTTTATATTTCAGTTCCATTCGGATTTTATTGGATGCTGTGAATATTTTTGTTCGTATGGCAGTAATACTTTCTGGTGGCGGACAGCGTAGAAAATAAACTTCAGTTATTTTATTAGTGCAGATGCAGGTACATTAGATATAACGTAACAACACTATCCATTGTGATGTGGTAAAATGATTTGATTCATTGTTTGCGTTTATTACCATTTACGTCACTACACCTAATAAAATAAGTGTCATTCTAAATTTGACTTTTTATTATGACTTGTAATAACATCAACGAGGTAGGTGTATACCAATAACATCTAGCTATTTTGGCATAGCTTTATCAAAGGGGGGATATAGTAAGTGCCATTGTCAGACCTTTGGAATAGTAAATTAATATCATACTTAGTTTAAAATCAAATAAGCTATTTGCAAACCACACATTCCTTGGTGAGAATGATAGATGTATGAGACAGTTGTGAAATTTCACTGTTTCTTGCCAGGATTTAGATGATCAAACGATTCTGCTTTCTGAACTGGGTCAATCTGGATGCGCTATTGATAAGCCCGATTCCAAACAAGCCAGACGGACGTCCGCTATTTTCATCATCTTAATCTTCCTAACGGTCACTTTTGATTGGCGTGAGGGACCTACACCTACCTACTTCCGTCGGTGTGTGTTGCACAGTTTTGGTTTAATGTAGGTTTCTTTGTCTTGCAGTTGCTGAGCATTTGCAGCGTAAACGACAATTTTGGATGCGATCACTATTCATTTTAGTAGTGAAAAGGAAATTTAAATGTTCTTAAGACTTCTGTTGTTAGCTAGCTGGATTTAGGTTGCTAGAGTCATCCAGTTTAACGAGTTAACTGTTCCCAAGATGATGGCTAATCGACTCGAATTTAAGCAATTGTCGATTCTCATCTCGCTAACCGTGCTTATTTATGTGGAAGTTATGTTTCTACTCATGTCATGTACATGGTCTGATAATAGATTTTATGTAGCCAGTCTTCCAACTGGTAGTCGCTACCGTGGTGTGGTAGTCGGGCTTGCATATTACAATGATTCAACGAGATGCGTTAGCTGGAACACTTTCTGGAACTCTTACCTTGCCAGAAAGGTCTGTTGGATAGTGGTGAAACAAAAAGCAATTAACGCTATGGTATAAGTAGCTACTCTGTGATGCGGGTCCAAGGGCGAAGTCGTGCTGCTGGCTAGACAGGGATGTGACAGCAGTGAGGTGTTTGCAGTGGATAGCCACCAGCAGCGTACTGATGCTGCATCCCGTATTAGAAGAAGGTGGGTGGAAAGGGTCGGCCGCAAAAGTAGCCCACTCCTTTTCTCACCGCCAAATGGTATTGGTGGTATGAATTCGTCGTGTCCGGCGTTAGCACAGCGGAACCTAGATCCAAGAATTATAAAAGGGCCATCTGTGACAGGTCTCAAGCAGGTATCTCATGGGTTTATGGTCATACAAACCCATTCCTTCTCTTTCGGGTAGCTTACATAAACAGTTTCCATGGTGTGGGCAGCCGGGAAGTGCTAACTGCCCGCCGCTTCCAGAATTATCCGAAACCTACTCATATTTTTCACCTCCATTGCGTCGCCTTACTAGTACCAATATTAAGCTTCTTAAAATTCCATCGACCCACCTTGTAACCATTGCTAGTGGTCTCAGCTAGCGAAACACCATTCGTAGTCTCCTAAAGCCCTACCACCGATTTCTCGTTGCAGCTTCCGACGCCCCAACCATATCTCGTACCGGACAACACTGAATGACTGACAAGATCAACGTAGAACCTCTCACGGAAGCGCCACATATCAAAGAAGTGCACAAAGAACCGATGGATAGGAAAGGAGTGATATCAAAGTGGATGAAGTAGTGTGAGACAATAAGCAATCTGAAAATAAAGAATAATGTGAATATCTAAACTGAAAGGATACCAAGGAGTGCATATGTCTGCGCCATTGCGACCCATTCTCAGGTATGACACGATTTCATGTTAGGGAGAGGAGATTCTTCAAGATTAATCAAACGATGAGTCTAGAGGACAGCTGTCCGAGAATTGCATAAGTGCCTATTACTTTTATATTCAATTAATTGCGTTGCAGTGACAAAATGCATTGTATCAGGAGATGACAAGTACAACATTGTCGGATTGAAGTTGATTTTAAAATGCATGTGACAAGAAAAATCTGAGTCAAAGAAATGTAAGAAGCAAGAGTCATACTGTTATATCTTCGTACGCCAACGGTTATATATATATATATATATATATATATATATATATATATATATATATATATATATATATATATATATATATATATATATATATATAATATTCTGAATAATAGAATACGCACGCTCAGCTGACAGCCAGCTTAGTACGCAAGAGCCACTGACTGCAACCGCGAGGTGAATAGAGAGAAGACCGAAGCTGGCAGAGAGGAGTGTTTATTACTGCGAGAGTATAATAATAAATCCATCCAAAACACGTGAATAAGTATACACATAAAATATGACCATGTCCGAAACTGGAGATATTCGCATAGTAAGAGTAAAAGTTAACCAACCAGCAAATTACATTACGATGGGGGCAGAAATTAAACTACTAGTCATACTGTAAAATGGTGTGAGAATGCTAAGTTAAAAATGCTCAGATCGATTACATTTTTTTAATACAAAACTAGTGCCTTACAACACATACAATTAATCCTTCTTATGAATTTGGTTAATGCTTTACGAAGATTAGTGTTTCAGAGAAATGTGATATATTTTGGCCGTATATTTCATACAGTCTGGTGAAGTTTACTTGTCAGATCATCTCATATGAAAAGGAAAGTAGGAGGTCAAATCAAATATAAAAATCAGGAATGTAATAATAGTTAAGGAATGGTAAGCTGTGATACCAACTTTGGAAGTATGATAAGATTGGGAATAACCAGGATAAGTTAAGTGCAAGGACTGGTTGTTTTTGAAGACACAAGGGACTCATATTAGTGAATACTTAATGCTTCGGCAAATCCAATTGTATTGTAACTGACAGTTTCTGTACGAAGATGTAACAGGCATTTTGCAATGGATAAATATAGTTGCTCGACACCAGCAATGATTGATCTTTTTGAATCTAGCTGTTTTTTAGTCAATCGAGTACATTTGTTGCGAAAATTAATGACATTTCCAGATGAACTATGTCATCTAGTTGCATTATCCAAAAGACATGCAACTTGTACTCAAAATACTACATACCCCTAATTTTGCAAAGCTTTTGCCTTCTGTTTTGCCCGTTACCTTAACCCACAGGGCTGTTTTCACAGCGTTATTAGTTTTTCTTCCCTCTGCTCTCAAGGCTGGACTCTGATTGGTTGTTAATTATTTTTACCTATATGTGGATTTAGTGTTGTCAAGGTCATTTGGAGATGTACATATTCAGCATCGCTGTCAACAATATTGACTGTTGTTGAGACAGCAAAAGCTTTCTGTCAACGGTCTGTCTTATTTTAGGGCGTCGGTGGTATTGTTGTGGTGGTGGTTGACGTTCTGATTTGCTTTAGAATCGGTTTTTTTCCGCAAGTTGGGTTCGTATCTTTCGTAGTCTGCTAGTCTCGTATTGCTTGTAGACTCTTAGGTCGTACTACCGGTCATAGCATAAAACTAACACAGAAATAAAATTCTGTGGAACGATATTTGTATTTAAGTATGAAATGGTAACATGTAGTCGAAGTAGAGAGAATTAGTGTGTTTATCGAGCTAATGACGGATATCCTATTTGGAGGTTTATTATAAGGATTTGCTGATTTGAAGGTGGTATTCATCACGGACTGTCACTGGTTGGAGAACGATTGAAGACTTGCTAGCACTGGACAGCTGTTGTACCCGGGAATCGAAACCCGGGCCTTCAAGTCATGTGGTGAGCACGTTATCAGTAAGCCACCGGGTTGGATTCCTACGGTCCAGTTTTTCTACTCATGTCGTGCAACTATGTTTCAATGCAACTGGAAAGTATTTGTCCTCACGTCTGACTTGGTTTACCCAAAAGGTCACGAACTTTGGGGAATCTCATCTCGAAGCGTATCATTAATAAGCGTTCGTCGTTTGTGGGGATTTAATGGATTTCAAGATGGTATTATTTTTCTGTTTTACTTACGGGATAAAGTGAGTGACTGGTGTTAATGTCATTTTTTGGAACGAGGTAAACTTTATGTTTGTCTTATGTTCGTGATTCTTGGAAAATTTTCTGTTTCTGGTAAATACATTTGTAAAAATAACTTATTTCTCCAGTAATCAGTTATTTATCTCTATTTCGTAATATTCTTTATTGATACTTTTAGTTTCCCGTTGATTTTCATTCTAGATGGAACTGATTAACCTGTGTTGACATATGATTTCCTATCCAGATACTTAAATATTGTCTAACGATTTATTATGATATAGTTTGTTTGGTGGTGATTAAAATCTGTTCAACATGATGAATTCATGTTGCCTTGCTGTAAACTGTTATTCTTGCTTTCTTCATTCAATTAACAAAGAGGGAATGTTAAGTATTTTGACTACTTTCAGGTGATTTTACTATGTATCTGATTCATAAGAGAAATCATATACATACACGCATATGTGTATATAAAACTGAGGGATTTCAAGAGTTTAAAGATTCATTAGTCAGTTGGAGTGATATCAAATCATGATAAAAACTTGCCTGAATGTGATGAACAATGTGGACTGGGTTTATCAGCTACTAGAGTCCATCTTGTTCACGCATAGCATACAGAGTGCATACATATCTCAGATTATCTAACAATATGTAATTTATTGCTCTTTAGATAACAATTAAGTGTTTATTGTGTTGGTTGGATTAAAAGCTTAACTTATTTATAAAGAGCTTAACTGATTAAAACCGATGTCTCATTGCAAGCATAAATTTAGTGTTCAATTATTCCAATCAACTCAATTGGTTTGATTTATCTAAATCTAACTCAGTCACTCGTAATTCAAACATGCCACTCTTCCACTTGCGTTTCATCGTTTAGATATTTTGAATACATACCAAAATTGTAGTCGTGTTCCATCTAGTTGTATTAAAAGTTGAGGTTGGTGAACTGGAGTTTGTATGTACACACGCTAATTCCAAAGCTAAGATAATCGATTCAGTGGACTTTCAGTAGAAGGAAATTGATCTTTTCAACCGACCTGGTTTTCATGCTGATATTGAAACACGAAGTACTCAGACTGGTTAATCTTTTCCCTGGTTATCAATTC